GTTCTAAATTTTAATAGTTAAGAGGTTCAAAATGGCCAATTTCTCCAAATAAGCGATAAATAAGGGATGATAAGAACTAATTTTTTGGCACCCTGAAAAGTTATTGAACCAACTAAATACGAGGCATTAACCTCTTTTTTTTCTCGCGATGGCGATATATTAGTAGCGATTTTGTTCACTTGAAGCATTTACTAATAATTATTAGAGTATGAAATTGACCTACGTGGTCGATTCTTGAATATCGACGTGATATGTGTTTGTTTTGGTTTAGTTACTTCTTGTAATGAAATACTTTCATGATAGGAATCATTTGCTTTCTCATTAAAGTTGATCTCCATTAGCTGACTAGTCGATTTTCGATCACCCACCGAAGCCCTTACATGTACAAGAATGAATGATTATTAGAAACATGGAAATATACGTGTGTTCAAATATTGTGGATAATTCTAATTCTCGGTGGGATTTTATATATATTCAATGGAATTTTTTTTGTTTTTGCAGATTGTGATTAGTAATTTACGAGGGGAAGTGAGCACACCACAAACAGAGATGTGCGACGATGGTGATTCGGAAGAAGGGATGAGAGGAATGAACGATCAAGATTGGGAGTTGTGGGAAGAGTGGATGGGATGGGAAGGTGCTGGAATTCGAGATTACTCTTCCCATATTAACCCTTACATTTAATGACATCTTCAAAATGAGTTTAATCAAGTGTTTATATATATATATATTGTATTGAAGTTGTAAAGATGGTTGAGGTTGCTGTGTATAATGATGTTTAATATATATATTTTTTTTTTTGCTGTATATATCATGGCATTGTTCCTTGGAAGGAACACTGTTAATTGTATCTTGTATATCAATGTTAATTATTAAATGATTTTACTTAGTATATTTGAGTTTTACATTCTCTTGTTATGTTGAGGTTTGTCTTGTTTGAATTGTTGTGCTTTGATTCCATGCTGACCTCCTCTTAGAAATATAGAAAATTTGGACTCCCGTTGTTCAATCCTAAACGATACACGCTTCCAATGACACCTAGTAATCGTTTGCCCCGTCGATTGGCCGTTTGCCGTTATCTTTCTTTGAGGGGCGGTTTGACCCGGACGAGTGAACAAAATTGGAGGGGCGGTTTTAAAAAACAAGAAAAATGGTTGATGTAAGAAGTGGTGGGTTCAAATAGTGTTTTCCATTATTTTGGGGTATATAATATAATAATAAAAAAAGAGAGAGAAAGGGCGATATGGTAATTAACCACATTATCCGTCCCAAACAACCCAACCTTTCGTGAGATTAACACACCTAGTTTCAATCCCATAGACTCGAATCCCACCAACCAAAACCGAGATCCCATCCAACTAACACCAATCCATACAGTAGAATTTGAAAAAGAACCCCAAATCCCATCCCATCCCATCAACCCAACCAAAAGGGGCCTAACGAAATAACTTATCCAATGCATTATTTCGTTAGGGTTTCTAACTATGTTTCAGGGTCATTGTAATTGCCGAAACTACAAGGACCTTTAAATTATTTTAGCATACCTCAAGGGTGTATGTGTGATTTAACTTATTTTTATTACTAACTGCATCACATTTTCAATTTTCAAATCTTCAATCCAGTTTTCATCCATATTCATCAAAAAAAAAAAAATCCAGTCTTCATCCAAATCAAAATGAAACCTTGCACATTTTCTTATAACAGAGTGAAAGGAATAGGGGGATTCTCGATGGCAATGGAGTTCGATAATCAGTCAATTTTGGAGAAGGCTGATGATTCCTTGGGAGCAAATTGGAGCGTTTTCTGGGTACGATTTTCTGAATTAAAAACTTTCGGTTTTCTATTTAACAAAATTGGAAGAGGAATCATCCAATTTCAGGTAAATTGGAAATGTAGTTTCTGAGAGATTAGTTGCCGCTGATTTGGGGTTTTCAGAATAATATTTTAATCCAGGATTTTAATTCCATTTATTCATCAGTCATCACACTTATGAACTAAAATGAATTCCGAAAATGAATGTTTTGAATTGTTGATATTGAATCCAGATTGATTTTCCTTCATAATTTTACTTTTTTTACTTTTTTTTTTCTTTCCATTGTCTTTTAATACTTGTTGTAACTTAGATTTTCCAAAATATTTGTGGTTTGGATGTGAAGACCATCAGGGCCGTTCCTGAGATTTTGGGGCCCTAGAATGGGGCCCCTTCTCCAATCTACAATAAAACTTTTTTTTTTACAAAAGGTGATAAACTCTATTTTAACTCGATTTTGTAAGGTACATAGCCAGTGGCAAGGCTAAAAATTTGTGATATAGTAGGGTTAAAGTTTACGGGGTTCGGGGGCAGCGCCCCCGATTTTTTTAAGGATAATTTGCATGAAGTAGCACTAAAACAAGTGAATATATATATATATATATATATATATATATATATATATATATATATATATATATATATATATATAAAAGTAAATAACTAATTCTTTACAAATTTAATAATTAGGGGCCCCTGATTAGAGGAATTCTATAAATAAGTAAGAATTGTTGATATATAGCTATTTATGAATTAAAGTTCTCAATCACTATATATATATTATATATATATTTTTTTTCAATAAATGTTCATATATAAAGGGTATAAAAAAATTTGGGGTCCTAAATTTAAAAAAAAACCCGGGGGCGCTAGGCGACCGCCTACTTCGCCTCCCCTCAGAACCGACCCTGAAGACCATGACATCTCAGATGGTCAATAATGGCAGACAACCTGTTGAATTGGAACACAAATTTTCTCTTATCTGTTAGAAATAAGAGGCTCTGTTTTAGTCAAAAATAATATATTAGTGCAAGTATTCTATTTGTCATCATGGGAACCTATCTTTGGTGACTTAGTTTACCTTCATCCATTATTTTTGCATCACAATTTTATCAGTGCCTTGTAGCTAAAAATCGGGCATGATGAAAACTCTCTTGTTTCCCTTGCTCTGTTTTTATCTCAATGTCTAAAACTTGCTTGCATGGCCATGACCTTAAATATAACCACCGACGAATCGGCACTTCTGGCCTTGAAATCCCAACTCAAGTTAGTCCCTTCTCATGTTTTGTCGAAAAACTGGTCTCACTCCACCTCTGTTTGCAGCTGGATTGGAGTCAGTTGCAGTTCTCGTCACCAAAGAGTGGCCGCGTTAGACATTTCTTCAATGGGGCTAGTAGGTAATTTGCCATCAGAAATGGGAAATCTCGCCTTTCTCGTATCTTTGAACTTGAGCAGCAACAGTTTTCACGGCAATCTGCCGCAAGAGTTGTCTTACTTGCGAAGATTGAAAGACGTTGATTTAAGTTTCAACAACTTCACCGGTGAAATAAATCCATTTTGGTTCGGATTATTGCCCCAACTCCGGTTCTTGAATCTTAAAAACAATAGCTTCAGTGGTACCCTGCCAACTTCTGTCTCCAATGTAACAAATCTCGAAAAACTGGATTTATCGTACAATTCTATCCGGGGGAAAATCCCTGAAGAGATTGGAAATCTTTACAACTTGAAGATGTTGAGTTTTCAGTTTAACAAACTTGATGGTCTAATACCGATATCAATCTTCAACATGTCGAATTTGGAATCTCTTGCTCTCACAGGGAATATCTTGTCGGGGGACCTCCCTGCCGATTTTTGTGGTGGCATTCCAAGAATCAAGGAGCTGTATTTGTCTTCAAATGAGTTCAACGGCCAAATACCGTCAACTATTTCTAAATGCTCACAGCTTCGTCTACTTTCTTTATCATACAATAAATTTAGTGGTTTCGTACCAAGAGGCATTGGGAACTTAACATCACTCGAGATATTGTATCTAGGCTCCAACGCCTTGACAGGTGATTCTTTTTGTATCTAGGTTACAAGTTTGTTGCTCGTTTTTTTTTTTTAAACTATTAAACTTGAGGCCTTACACATTAAGAACCTGCGACAGGTGAAATTCCAGAAGAGTTGGGTAATCTCCGGAACTTGAAGGAGTTGGGAATGGGCGATAACTTTCTTATAGGCTCGATACCATCAGCTATCTTCAACATTTCCTCTTTGCAGTACATTAATATTGCAAATTGTAATTTAACAGGTGCTCTCCCTCGTGACATGTGCTCTCGCACTTCTCAACTCGAGAGTGTTTATTTCCATGTGAACGAATTAGTCGGTGAGCTCCCAGAAAAACTAGGTGAATGCGAAGCACTTCAAATTGTGTCATTATCTTACAACAACATGACTGGGGTAATACCAAGAGGTGTTGGAAATTTAACCATGCTAGAGATGTTTTACGTCGGCTATAACAACTTGATCGGTATGTCGTTAGCTACAAATTCCGTGCAAGTCGAACATTTGTTACGACTTTATAATAATGTCAGTGGCTTTGTTTGTGCAGGTACAATCCCAGAAGAGATGGGGAATCTGAACAATTTGGAGGTTCTTTACTTGGGATTTAACAGCTTAAGTGGTTTTGTACCAGCAGGAATGTTCAACATTTCGACTCTGCAAACTATTAACCTTTCAATGAATCAACTTTCGGGCTACCTTCCATTGGATCCTCGTCTTGGGCTACCTAATCTACAAGACATCTACTTAAATGACAATAGTTTCATTGGAGAAATCCCTTATTCTATCTCGAATTCTTCTAAACTTACTCTTATAGGTTTTTCTGGCAACAATTTCGGTGGAATAGTTCCTGACTCCATTGCGGAGTTGACTTTCTTGCAAGACTTGGACTTGTCTGACAACAGATTCATCGGTGGATCGTCAGAGATAAGTTCTTTGATCACTGCATTGACAAACTGTAGACATCTAACAAAGTTGGGTTTGGGGAGTAATCTTTTCAACGGCACTCTCCCAGTTTCCGTCGGAAATCTGTCCACTTCTCTTGAGTATTTTTACGCTTACGAATGTCGCATTCACGGCGCTATTCCACACGAGTTTGGCAATCTTATTAATTTAATCATTTTAAGTCTGTTTGGGAATCAACTGACTGGATCAATCCCCAATACCCTCGTGAATTTGCGAAATCTTCAAGGATTAGCTCTTTCACGCAACAGAATAAGCGGCACTATTCCTTACACTCTGTGTGGATTACGGAGTTTGAATGGAATATTGCTCCACCAAAATCAAATCACCGGTGTTATTCCAGAGTGCATAGGAAATCTTACTGCTCTGAGAGAAGTCAACATGGGAAACAACAAACTGAACTCTGGCATACCTACAAGCCTGTGGCAGCTCAACGACCTTCTGAAGCTGAACCTGTCCTCCAATTTTCTAACCGGACCTTTGCCCCCGGATATCGGAAATCTGAAGGCTGCAACTCTTCTTGATCTATCAACAAATCGATTATCGGGAACTATTCCAACTTCAGTTGAAGATCTACACAACATGATTAATCTTTCACTGGCACATAACAGCTTTCGAGGAGCTATTCCTGAGTTGATTGGTAAGATGATGAACTTGGAGGAATTGGATTTGTCCCACAACAATCTCTCTGGCAATATCCCGATTTCCTTGGAGGGGCTTCTATATCTCACATATTTCGATGTTTCGTTCAATGATTTGAGCGGTCAAATCCCTTCGAAAGGCCCTTTCAAAAACTTCGCTGGTCAGTTTTTCATCAACAATGGAGGACTCTGTGGTGATCCTAGATACGGTGTCCCACAGTGCCACAATCGTAGATCAAAGATCAGAAAGACGATTCTTCGAGTTGTGTACGTTTTGCTAGGGTTTGCAGGATTGGTTTTTTTCCTTACATTGGCTTACGTCTTCATAACATACCGTAGGAAAGAAGTGGTGGAAACTCAAGAGAATCTGTCATCTGGTGCAGCACCATTAAGAGCCTCGTACTACGATCTTCTACAAGCAACCGGAAGATTCAACGAGAGCCATTTGCTTGGCGCTGGAGGGTTCAGCTCCGTTTACAAAGGGACTCTTCAAAACGGAGAAGAAGTTGCGATAAAGGTATTCAATTCGCAAGTAGAAAAAGCGTTCGAGAGTTTCGATACAGAGTGTGAAGTGCTACGCAGCCTTCGCCACAGGAATCTCTGCAAAGTCGTCAGTGCGTGCTCGAACGAAGATTTCAAAGCCTTGGTTCTTGAGTACATGCCTAACGGAAGCCTCGACAAGTGGCTACACTCGGACGGCTATTTCTTGGATTTCGTCCGGAGAATTGGCGTTATGATAGATGTGGCGTGTGCGTTGGAGTATCTTCACTATGGTTGCTCGACAACTGTAGTCCACTGCGATTTGAAACCGAGTAATGTACTATTGGACGGAGATATGGTCGGCCGGTTGAGCGATTTTGGGATTGCTAAGCTATTAGGCCACGATAATAGCTTTGTGCAAACTAATACTTTTGCAACGTTGGGTTACATCGCACCAGGTAATTAATGCATACGTATGTTAAACTGAAGTGCCAAATGTCGTTTCATTTTCATCGGTGCGTTCCGACTTCAACTGTGATTTTGACCATTTTTCATTCTGATTTTGGCAACACCCAATTGGTAGTCCTTTGAGTTGGCATTCTAGTCTAAATTGAATCAACTTGATTGAATGTCTGGTGAAAAAGTTATGCATGAATGAGTGACAACCCAAATCTCAAAAAATTCAAAATATCATAGTTGCGGCCAATGTATTATTCATTCATTCATACTAATATTTCTCACCAGACTTCCAATCAAAAGACTACGAATTTTGATTCAAATTGGATTATAAAGCCAACTCAATGGACTACGAATTTGGTGTTTTGAAGTTTGCCAAATTCGGAGTGAAAAAAAAAGAGGTCAAAATCACATTTGAAGTCTGAACAATATCGATGAAAATGAAACGACATTTAGCACCTCCCTTGTGTTAAATATACATAACGCTCGTTTAATTTCTATGTCGATGCTTTTTTATTGACAGAGTATGGATCACAAGGCATAGTATCGATAAGATGTGACGTTTACAGCTTTGGTATTCTACTGATGGAAGTTTTTACGGGAATGAAGCCGAGTGGTGAAAGATTTGCCGGAGATTTAAGCCTGAGGAGTTGGGTAGAGGAGTGTGTGCCTGATTCGATAAACCGGATAATTGATCCGAAATTGGTGAAGCTCGACGACGAAGAAGAGTACGCGAATGGGACGTTGGAATGCTTGTCGTCTATAATGGAGTTGGCTTTGAAATGCTCAATGGAAAGTCCATTAGCATGGAAGATGTTGTAGTGATGAAGAAGATCAGGTTCAAGCTCTTGGGCATGTTTCCCATATACTACTAGTATGTGTACAATTAGATTGTGGACTATACATGAGTGTCTGCAAGAGCTTTTACAAATAGATTATGAGCTTTTTTTTGTTCGTAATCTTACTTTTAAGTGTTTGCAAAATGAGCATATGCTTTTGCTTTTCTTGAAATAAGCAACTTTAAGCTGTGTTGAGCACCTGTGACCCTGTTTTTTCTGTTGTTTAAGTTGATTTTTAGTAAATTTACTACCACTCCCAACTTTTAGAAATAAGCAGTTAGGTGGTGTTTGCAAAAAGCTTATTTAAAAGCATAAGTTCGTAATTGTGAGTTAAATTGATATTAAGTGTTTAATTTTAAAAGTTGGGAGTGTTTGCAAAAACTCTTGAAAATTAACTAAAATAGAAAAAACAGGTACATGGATGCTTTTAAAATTATAGTTTAAAGCAACTTATTTTAAAAAAACCAAAAGCAAAAGTCGATTTTGCAAATACCTAAAAACAGATTATGTGAGAAAAAAACTTATAATCTATTTTTAAAAGTTTTTGCAAACACCACCTGAATTATAGGATGTCAAGTTTTTAGAGAATATAATTCCGGCCCAAGATTAATTTACATTATTTTTATTTATTTTCGTTAAAAAAAATTGATCTTATAAATCAGTCTACAACCAAACCCAAAGAGAATAAAACATAAGTTGTTGCAGAGAATATAAGTTAAAATAATTTATTAAAAAAAAAGAAGCTAAATTAAAAGGTGACAAACACTAGAAAACTTTTTATAAGCCGAAGAAAAGCGTATAATCTAATTTCAAAACTTTATTCAAACACTATCTTAATATAAACTAGTTTTTGTTGTATTTTGCGAAAAAGATAAAATTGTTAAAAAATGAAATATATATGTTTCCCTCCCTTCTCTCCAAGAATTGATACGCTGCCGTTTTAATGCTCGCTCGATTTCTGCTTCGCTCCACGCCCAAATTTTCTGTATCTATATATATGTAAGCATGCACACACTCGTTTCCAATTCCAATTTCATGATCATCACTGTTAATTTTATTTCTTGGATTACGTAAATCCGAGTTCTCCCCCCTCTGAATTTTTTGAACAGCGTATCGCCGAACAATTAATTGTTGACGCAAAAAAAAAAAAAACAAAAAGGTATTCGGTTATGCTGATTTACTTCATCTACTATTACTTATCTGCAATTAACCAGGTTTTCTGAATTTCTGCAGTGGTGGAAAATGAGTAAATCGCAATTGCCGCTGCAAAATGTGGGCGGGGCGGAGAAGCGCGTGGTCAAAAAGGAAGCTTTGGTTAAACTCTTGCGATGGCATTTTGGATATTCTGATTTCCGAGGGAAGCAGTTGGAGGCTATTCAAGCTGTTTTATCAGGTCCCTTTCATTTTTGCATTGGTTTCATTGATTATAGATATGTATGTATGTTGATCAATTTCAATTGAATTTTTAGGGGGGAAATAAAAGCAACCTAATTAAAATTTGTTTTGGAGGATTGCAAATTTGTGGCTTTTCAATTTTCTTTTATTGCACTTCTACAACTGCATTCTTATATGCACTGTTTAAGTCCATATGAAGAAGCTTTGATTTCCGAAGTGCTCCCGAACACGGACGTATGTGTAATCGGTCGATTATGAGGGCTATTGTGATCATCAATTGTTATTCTTTTTAGCTTTGTATATGAAATTTGGTAATTGTAATAATGTTGATTTCAATGCAGGTAGAGATTGTTTCTGTCTGATGCCAACTGGTGGAGGAAAGTCGATTTGTTATCAGATTCCAGCTCTAGCAAAACCGGGGATTGTGCTTGTCGTTTGTCCTCTGATAGGTGAACGAGACCAATATTTTTTGATATATACGAAATTGTGAAAGCTTATACTGCACAAATTTCTTCTTCTCTTGCTAATTCCAGGAAAATCTGATGCTCACCTCTGCAATTTTTTCTTTTTTTAATATTTACAGCCCTAATGGTAAGAACAGATTATATATTTTTCTTCTTATTGTTCGATAATTCTTGAATAGCAATTGATTCCTTTTGTGATCGAGTAAGAGGTGTTTACTTTCTCCTGTCAGGAAAATCAAGTAATGGCCTTAAAAGAAAAAGGGATTGCCGCTGAATATCTCTCTTCAACCCAGACTGTCAAAACCAAGAATGAGGTACTTTCTAAACATAGACATGGTTATTTCGAGCCAAGTGCTGAATACAACTTTTTTTGGCAATAATTCAATATTGATCTTGAGTTCCACCTCCACCTTTTGTGTTCGACACTGTTTCTTGATTGACTTTTATTATATCCGGTTATGGTCATACTTGGTGAAATTTGAAGCAATACGAACTCTAGATGCTTATCAGAAGTGTTACTTATGCTTATAATTGGAATTTTATTTGCTGAGTAATGAGATGTTGGAAGCTATGATTTTATATGCTCGTCGAAACCTGAATTGGTAGAGAAAGTTTGCCTTTCATCAAGTTTGTATGAGTTAATATTGATCCAGCTCACTTATTGATGTTCAGATTTATGAGAAACTTGAATCGGGAAAGCCATCTTTGAGTTTACTCTATGTTACACCTGAATTGATTGCGACATCAGGGTTCATGGCGAAGCTGACAAAGATTCATGGCAAAGGATTGATAAGTCTCATTGCCATTGACGAGGTCTGAAATTGCATGGCCTTTAATAGCACAGAAGATTAATTGCTGCCAGAAGTTTCTAACATACACGCATATATTTATATGATTTTCATTTATCAAAAAATGATTATACTTGCACTTTTGAATATTGTTAGGCACATTGTGTATCGACATGGGGCCATGATTTCAGGTTACTTCTCTTAAACTTCAACTTATATTTTCTATTTAGCTAACCCCTTCTTGAACATATCTACGCATCAGTCTTGGGTTCTCTTACATGTGTCCCACACACACACACATGCACAAAAACACTCACACACATGCATACACACACAACTCTTCTCCTACAAGCTCACTTGTATTTTCTGACACTACCTATTTATATAATTTGAAGTTATTTTTGAATTGTCCAAATAATATAGGCCAAGCTACAGAAAGCTTTCTTCGCTGAGGAATCGATTGCCCGGCATACCAGTTTTGGCTTTGACAGCTACAGCTGCTCCTAAGTGAGTGTGATCAACATTATTTAGAAAACCGTTCTTATGATGACAAATTCTTCAATGATTCTAAATAATTTGGGAAATCCATGTTCTCTCCATTATGGTTTTCAAAGTTTATTTAAAATAGAAAAGTTGTTCTCTATTCATAACAGGACACTGGTTATTACTTCCCGTTATAGTCCATGAGAAAATAGAAAACCATAGTTCTTGTGTATGAGTTAAATTTTTCCGGCGCTTATTTTTCTTGATGTTGCTATCAATTGGATTTTTTTTGTTGATGAGAAGTAATAGCTCAACTTTACTAGATTTGGTACTTCTGCAGAGTTCAGGAGGATGTGATAAAGTCCTTGTCTTTGGAAAACCCACTTGTTTTGAAATCATCCTTTAACCGGCCAAATATTTACTATGAGGGTGAGTTTTCCGTAATTTATTTGGTTTACCTAAGCATATCTCTGTTCCTAATCACTTCTATGTTGTTACCATGTTATTTGTTTATCTTAAAGAGAAAAAATATGTCTTTATGTTTATGTTCCGGGCACAAAATGCTTGTGGTTTCACCTTTTGAGAATCATACAACCCAACGAGTTACTCCTTTTGATAGAAAAAAATTATAATTCATTGGAGGAAGTAGCGAGGGCAAATAATAATTAACTGTGATTCTATGTGGTTAACTTTGGTCTCTATTGAGGGTCCAACCGTGGTTAATTGAATTTTTTTTATTTGCAGTTGCAAAATAAGGATTAAGTTATTCTGACATGTTTGCTGTGCACCATGCAGTTCGCTATAAAGATCTGTTGGATAATCCATATTCTGATCTCTGTGATTACCTCAAATCATACGGAAATATTTGTGCCATTGTTTACTGCCTTGAGCGCACAGCTTGTGATGATCTGGCTATCCACCTATCCAGCAATGGAATTTCGTGTGCTGGTAATGAAATTATTGTCTAAAAATTAGTTTCAAAGAATTACTGGTGTAAGGTTTTATCCAAGCGAAATTTCATTTCTCTCGATTCAGCGTATCATGCCGGATTGAACAGTAAAGTGCGTAGCTCTGTCTTAGATGATTGGATCTCCTCTAAAACACAAGTAGTTGTGGCTACAGTAGCTTTTGGGTATGTTGTCTTTCCTTTTTGTTTTTTCAGAATAATACATATATATTTACTTGAAAATTCTCCAATGTACAGTCTCATATGTTATTGCTTATCTTCGAGCCATGGTTTGATTAAGGTTAGAGGAAATCGGGGCACACATTTTTAAAAAACTAAATTGCTGAACCATGATTTCGTCGTAAGAAATCAATTTGGTGCTAGATTTGACTTAGATTGGTAGCAATTTCGATGTTTAGTGTATTGAGCTGATTCCCCTAACAAGTTTCGTCAACGGTGAAAAAATCAAATATTCGAAACTGTATTTGTATTTTTATGCTGTTCAGTTTTTCTGGCTTGTATCTGTAATGCACAATTAACTCGAGACTTTTTAACTTTATTGTTTTTTGGTTTTGGGATTGATGCTGGAGCTATCTGTTACATGCATAGCCTTTAAAGGTGGTGGTTTTACGTGCAGGATGGTATGCAACTATTCTTAAAAGTTCTAGTGTGTGAAATTCGAATTCTGTGGCTCCAACAACGACGACATAGCAGATTTTCCACCCTGAGATATTTGTACTGTTATTTCAGGGCATAGATCGGAAGGATGTCAGAGTTGTTTGCCATTTCAATATTCCAAAGTCTATGGAATCCTTCTATCAAGAGTCAGGTCGAGCTGGCCGAGATCAATTGCCCTCTCAAAGTTTGTTATACTACGGAGTGGACGACCGTAAAAAAATGGTTGGTTATATTTTGCCATGAAATTGATTATCTAATCGAAATTCAGTGTTTGCAGTGAGTGCGTTCTAATTTCAATGACCGTATTTTAGGAATTCATCCTGGGCAATGCTGCAAGCAAGAAGTCGCATTCTTCAAGCTTGGAGGAGGGTTCCTCCAAGAAGTCCCTAGCTGACTTTCGTCTGGTAAAACATGCACATTTCTTAAGAATTACACTTTTGCCCCTTTTTATTAATCTTCGTTGGTTTCTCTTACATGCAGATGATTGAATACTGTGAGGAGTCTAACTGCCGAAGAAAAAAGATCCTTGAAAGTTTTGGGGAAGAGGTATACATACCACTCTTGGCCAGTCAATGCCCCCCTTCATTGTTCGGTTGCTTTAAGTTGACTTTTGACTTTTTCTCTGTAAGCAGGTAACAGCATCGTTGTGCGCTAAATCTTGTGATTCATGCAAGCATCCTGATAAAGTTTCAAAGTATTTGGAGGAGCTTACAAATACTACTAATTCACGCCATAGAAACTGGTCATCCCGAATATGCATAAGCAGGTCACTGATTCTTGATTTTTTTTTTTTTTGACTAACATTCAATTGTTCCCGTTTACTGACTCGTTTTTGTGTATCTTCTACGCAGTGCATCGGATTTCAAAGATGCGGAACAATTCTCAGAATTCTGGAATCGAGATGACGAAGCAAGTGGATCTGAGGAAGATATATCTGATTCTGATGGTATATCTAAATTATGAACTAGTGTAGAGATTATTAAAAAAAAAAAAAGCACCTCAGTATTAAATTTCGTTGCTATTCCATAATGTAGCTCGGAATGGTTGTTCTCTTTATTCTCTCCACGTTTCTTTCTGTTGACCTGTTAATATTTGACTCCAGATATTGAAATTACAAAACATATAGCAAATTCAAGTAAATCATCAGAACGGAGAATACATGATACGATGGAGTCACTGCAGCGTGCAGAAGAGAACTATTACAAGAGTACAAATAATCAAGACAAGCAGGTGAACTTTGGAATCTTTAGTTGCTTGATTAGATTTAACTCTGTTATGCAACTTGCCAGCAGCGTTAGATATTTTAACACGAGGTTGATAAAATAATTTGTTTCACATTTGAACTATATCGTAGATAAAACGTGTTATTTAGGGTGTCAAGAACCATAAATCTTGAGGCGCTCGTTTATAAAGTTGGTAGCTGCTATTGTTTGCATAAGTTATGACCTGATGAATTTTCTCTCGATATTTCTTTTCTTTTTCTGTCTCCACTTGCTAACCTCTGACTTTATGTTGATAGGTCAATAAAGTGGACAAAAACTCCATATCTGAAACATTAAGAGAGTCTGGGAAACAAAGGTTGTTAAACGCCATAAAGCAAAACCAGCACCGCTTCAGCAATTTACAGTACGCTTCACTTCACCCAATTCTTCATATATTATAAGCTCAATTGACTCGGCTTTGTTTGGTTGGGAAGATATGCCGTGATTAATTTAATAACCGTACCTTATTTGTTGTTTTGTTAGTAAAATAACTTTTTGAACCTACCTAAAAAGCCGAAAATTTTGCTCCTTTATCCAGGTCCATCTTTTCTAGCAACTAGCAACCAAACGAGGCCTAAATTATTAGATTGTTGTTATCTTTTCTTTTTTCTCGTGAATTGTTTATTACTTTTTATGAAAATTGTCAGGATTGATTTTGAGATATCTGCGGAGAAACTGGAAAACGAATGCCACAAGAAGTACGGAAAAAGTGGGAAGTCGTTTTATTTATCTCAGATGGCAAGTACGGTTAGGTGGTTGTCAACTGCAACCCCCGATGAACTGACGAATAGACTTGGCACTAATGCTAATATGTCTTCGGAGGTCGTTAAACCAGCAGCAAATGTCTCTCCCCTGCCAATCTCTCCAGTTATAACCACGCAGTTCCATCGAGTGAAAGCCAGTGGCACCGTTAAATTCAACTCTCCTGTTTCACAAGATGCAGCACCACCGCCGCCGATTCTGTCTTTCTCGGAGTTTGTTAATCGAAGAAAAACAGAGGATAATAACCCGTCTTCGACGACCTCTAAAAGACAGTCCGGTGATGGAGTTAGTCGAGTTATGGAGAAGAAAGCTAAATGCTAGTTAGTCTTGATTGAATGTTGAACTTCATTTTTTGATTCTGTATTTTATAATTGTTCTTTAAGTATTTCAAAATATTGTTTGGAATTTACCTTTAGGTGTTTTTACCATTAATCATGTGTATATTTAATATTTGGGTAAATTACAACCACCCCCATGAGGTATGGTCAAATTACAAAACCCCCCCTCCTGCTTGGTTAATTACAAAAACCCCCCCTTCTGCTTGGTTAATTACAACCACCCCTCAACTATAAATCTTCTTACACGCCCACCCTTGCGGTTTCAAATTTAGTGGAATCTTCGAGATTATATGGAACATTATCACTTTTGTACACGTTTTATCCCATTTGAATGCCACATTTTGAAGCATTGATGATCATAATATGTGTTTTTTGGCTTGTATATATCAGATTGTGGTGCATCAGAAACAAATTTTTACAGAAAATGAGTATAAACTAGAGCACATTCCGCGAAATCTACATGATTATGTTGAATTTGACATCATAAGGGTGGAGGTGTAAGAAAAAATTCATAGTTGAGGAATAGATGTAATTATTCAAACAATAAGAATTTTTGTCGTATATTTACCATATCTCAGAGGTAGTTGTAATTTATCCTTAATATTTATATATCAAATTGCTACAAAATAAAAATAAATAGAAAACTAATATAATTATTCATGGACATGCAATATTTTTCCTATCTCAACATCAATGTGACAAAAAACGAATCTTAAGCAATCCCCATACAGCCCCCCACCTACCAAGATTGATACTGATTTGCCTCAAATTGATTATTCTATTGGGAATTGAAGGGCCAAAAGGTACAATTTTTACTTTGCAGAAAGCATAATTTTCTTTTATTAATAAACTGACATAATTAATTGGTAAATTAAGTATATAATCTAGATAATTTTATAAAGAAACGAACAAAGAAGACAAGCCCACGAGTAATCAATTACATGACATGGCCCATAGCCCTTAAAAACTAAACAAAATAATAAAATAATGGGTAAATTACGAACACCTCCATGAGGTAACAGCAAATTATGAAACCACCCTCATGTTAGAATAATTACAACCAACCCGCAAATATGAATCTTCTTACACATTCATTCTTATGGTGTTAAATTCAACAGAATATTTTATATTCTGTGGAATGTTCTCTAGTTTGTACTCGTTTTGTGCAAAAATGCAGTTTCTGGTGCACCACAATCTGATATTTACAAGCCGGTAGACACATTTTATGATCATCTTGTTTCAAAATGTGGAGCTCGAATGGGATAAAACGGGTATAAACTGGATAATATTCCACATAATCAAGAAGATTCCACTAAATTTGAAACTATAAAAGTGGACGTGTAAGAATATTCATAGTTGAGGGAGATGGTTGTAATTACCCAAATATAAGGGGGTTTTTTCATAGTTTTAACTTACCTCGGGGGTGTTCGTAATTTACCCTAAAATAATTTAATTGGAATAAGAAATTGTACTACCAAAGATTTATATATATATATATATATATATATATATATATATATATATATATATATATGGCTTAATTCCACTTTGCACCCTTGAAATATACCATTTTGGCACTTTGCACCCTCGAAATAAATTAATAGCACTTTGCACCCTCAAAATACAATAAATCATGCATAATGCACCCCAAATGATTTTTTAAAGCTAAAAAATATAAATTTAATATTTGTAGTGATATTTTTTTAGGATGCCAAATGTCAAATATTTTTTTTATTCATCAATCATTTTGAAACTATAAAGTTCAAAAATAAAAATACATTCCATCAACATATTTAAAAATTATATTGTTTTATCAAAATAAAATATTTTACGAAAAAAAATCATTCTGCTATTACGTTATCAAGTTATCTGAAAATTATTTTTTCTTCCAAATATTTTCACCTAATATTTTACAAACAGTGACATAAAACATCCACAATCGAATAATTTAGTGATAAAAGATTTTTTTTTTTTTTTCTTTTGTAAGATAATGTAGTTTTTTTTAAATAATCCGGTGTAATTTTTATTTTTTCGCACTTTGTCCGCTCGAAATTAGGTTTGAGGTTCAAGAAAACAACAATTTTTTTTATTTTGTACCCCAAAAAGAAAAACACCAATGAAAAATAAAATTGCCTTTATTATTCAATTGAGGGTGCATTGTGAATGATTTATTGTGTTTTGAGGGTGCAAAGTGCTATTATTATTTTTCAAGGGTGCAAAGTGCCAAAATGGTATATTTCAAGGGTGCAAAGTGGAATTAAGCCATATATATATATATGGTTTGTAACTTTGTATAGTTGGAAAGAAGCATTGGTCACGGGGCATGTGTATACCTCTTCATGTCATCATCATTATTACAAAATTAGAAAAAATAAAGTTGATATTATATGACCGACAATACCTATTTCTTGATTATGCTTGTTACCTATATATATATATATATATATATATATATATATATATATATATATATATATATATATATATATATATATATATATATATATATATATATATATATTATATTATATTATATTAGTATATATATAACGGGATGGTGTCATTTTTATGCACTTAACCTCATTTGATTGATTGATTGATGAGATATGTTCTAACTTCTAAGTAGTTAATTGTTTAGAATTAATTAACTGAGGGTTTGACCAGTTCAATTGACTTTCAACGGATTTGTTTTTTTTTTTTTTTTTTTGGATTTTTACCTTGATGAATTATTTTCTTGATGAATTAAACACAGGTTAAAACTTTTAGAATATATCTCCCTACTTCAACCAATGGTATAAATGAGGTGACACGATCTTGAGTTCTCTGACAGAGTCGAGCATCGACTCATTTTTAATTATTTATTGGCTCGTGAGTCAACTCGTCATTTTTTATTATAATAATATACAACAACAACACCAACAATAATAATATTATTGGACAAGAAATCCTTGTAGATTACCAAATCAAAGATAGTACTACACCTAAATTATGCTAATAATGTTGGAATTAATATGAGATGGAAAAAAACTATGTAGTCAACGGTCAACATAAACTTAATATCTTTGCTTCATATTATGGTTCTTAAATATTAATTAGCCGTGGAATAAGTGATAATAGGTCAAGGTCACTGTATAACTATAGCTTAGCTCATCATTCTTTTAATTTTTATTTATTTTGTTAGTAACGAAGGAATCTGCCGCTCACCATATAGGTGTCACTGAGTGGTTAACATACACTCTTGTATAATAGTTTCTAAATCATACGAGAAACGTGAACCACAAATTATTAAACTAACTATGTGTGACAAGCTCGATCTATATCGATCGTTGTCAACGGAATTCGAATCTGAGTCAATCAACTCAAACTCACTTGTTCGACCTGCTAGACCATTAATTTACATTAATGATTAAGTGCCTCCAAAGAAGAGATTTATAATATATATACACAATGAGAGAGAGAGAGATATGTGTTTTAACTTTTGATTAATGAAGTAATGAAGTAAGCTTTATTCTTGAATTAATGTCCCCACTCCACTTCCCCCATTCCCATGTACTCTCCTCTCCTTTACATTTCTACTCCTTTTTCTTTCTTTCATTTCCACCACCATCATTACATTGACTACCGCCGCCGCCGACGACAATGTTCACCACCGGCCGCCGCTCATTCCTCTTCAACTTCTTTTCACTACTCTCCATCCTCCTCCTCCACCTCGGATGCTTCACCTTCTCTTCCCGCCACCGCCGCCGTGATTCCTCCTCCACCTCCTCTTTCTTTAAGAAGAAACTCACCCGCCCGCCAAAACCAGGTCTCGTCTCTTTCCTCCGCCGCCTCTTCTCCTCCTCCATCAACCACCACACCCCAACACATCCACCAACCTCCATCCCCTCTCCATCTTCCTCCACGCGCTCCTTGCGTCTGAACCCACCCCCCACCACCACCACCACCACCCACCAATCAGACACCACCACCACCACCACAAATCAAATACACCCATGCTCCGTCTGCGGCGAGATCTTCCATAACACAAACCTCCTGAAGCACCACCAGTCCACAA